CATCGGCACCTATAGTGGTACGCGATTGTCTGCAGGAGCACACTGTGCCTCGCAGGCGGTAAGGACGGTGAGTCTCTCATTGGGAAGACTCTCGAATAGCACCTGCAAACCCGATGGTGACGTATTTGAAGTTACAGCTGGGTGCAAGTAAGCGTGTCTGCGGCACGTGGCTATGCGCACCCATGAATGTTTAGGCGTCCCCAGCAAACACCTGCCATCTACTTTGATACTGCACTCCAAGGCCCATCACTCACGGGTGACGGGAAGTGAGAGTATGGTCGTTGTTGCACCACCTCCACAACCCCCCATTCGGTCCCTCGGATGTTACTCATCTCTGCTTCTGAAGTTACCGAGCTTAGCAATCCCCCGACTCGGCAATGTGAGCGCGCAAATTCGACTCACTAAGTAAGGTCCGTTTCACCGGAGGGAATCATGGAGAGGATATATGACCCCCGCCCGGCGCTGTGCTCGCTCTGGCAGTTGAGTTGAGGCGCCGGAACTTTGTTGAACCTCTTGGGCTCTATTCTGCGCAGAACTTCAGATCACGTCTTGCCCAGGGAATAAAGCCCCGTTGCAAAGCGGACAAATGGAGCGCCTATCGCTATCTGCAGCGACCTCAATGCCGACATCTGTCTTCGCACAATCATCCCCCCATCACGACTTCATCGCCAGCCGACGAATTCCGAGCGTGCGCCGCCGTCGCTGCAAGAAAGTAAAGTCGCTGCCAAGACCCAGAGCATCCGTCGCCATGTCGCCTGCACTGGACCCCGCGACGACGGGTGAAACCGGCCCCAAGGCATCGCGTGCGCAAGCCATAGAGATCACATCAACCCCAGACTTCGGACGTCCCAGGCGAACTACTGCCCAAAGCGACATTCAGGACACCATCCAGCATCCGGGTAGCGTGCGCATCAATGTTCAGGGCGCTTTCATAGTCGACGAGGAGCAGCCGGATACGCCGAAAAGCGAAGACTACGAGCACGATCCCCACGACATTAGACTTCCCAACCACACGGCGGTTGTGAGCCATGTAGCTGTTGATGTGAGTGCTCCTGCGCGATTCTTTGCTTGTTGTTGCGCCCGGCACGCGACCATGCACTGTCGCGTTCTTCCCGCGCCGACCCCCTGGCAAAAAGTATAAGCAGCAGCATGCTAATGCGACTTGGTAGATTGGAGGCTCCCTTGCCAAACTCGTATATTTTTCGCGCGAACCAGGCGACGATGCGGCGGGCGGACGACTGAACTTTTTCAAGTTCGAGACGGATCGCATCGACGCATGTATAGAATTTATGCGCAAGCTCAAAGACGATCAGAAGCAGCACAATGATTCCAAGTCGCAGGACCTATGCATCATGGCCACCGGAGGAGGCGCATTCAAGTACCATGACAAGATCACACAGGCGCTAGATGTAGAGGTCATACGAGAAGACGAAATGGAGTGCTTGATCATAGGTATGATTATTGCCGCTGTCTATATCTTGCGACAGAACACTGCTGACAATGGCGCTATCCAGGCCTCGATTTCTTCATCAACGAGATTCCCGATGAGGTCTTCACCTACAGCGAAGACAGCCCTATGCAATTCGTCCCACACCCTCCAGACCCACCGAACATCTACCCCTACCTCCTTGTAAACATCGGCTCCGGTGTCTCCATGATCAAAGTCTCAGGCCCGCGACAATTCGAGCGCATAGGCGGAACATCACTAGGCGGCGGCACACTCTGGGGCCTCTTATCTCTCCTCACCGGCGCCCGCAGCTTCGACGACATGCTCCGACTCGCCGAAAACGGCGACAACTCCAGCGTCGACCTCCTCGTCGGCGACATCTACGGCCAAGCCTATAACAAGATCGGCCTTAAAAGCACACACATTGCCTCCTCCTTCGGCAAAGTCTACAAGATGAAGCGTGCAGCCGAGCGCGAAGCCGAAGACGGCTGCAACGGGGACCTCAAGCGCAGAGAAGAAGCAGAACACGTCCAGGGCTCTTCAGAGCTCCCTCACACCCCTGGTTCCTTCCGCCCAGAAGACATGGCGCGATCCCTCTTGTATGCTGTCTCAAACAACATTGGCCAGATCGCTCATCTACACGCCGAAAAACATGGCTTACCGCGTATTTACTTTGGCGGCTCTTTCATCGGCGGTCACTCACAAACTATGAACACACTGTCATACGCCATTCGCTTCTGGTCCAAGGACACCCGACAAGCATATTTCCTGAGGCATGAGGGGTATCTCGGTGCCGTGGGTGCATTTTTGAAGAGACAGCCTAGGAACTGGGGGAGAAGGGAAAGCTTTGCGGGGCCGGCGAGACCGACTTGAGGTTTTTTCCCTCTTTCTCTCTCTCTCTGTGTGTGTGTTCCCCCTTATTCTTCCTCCTTCATTTCTTTTCTCTCTTCCAATTCATATGGATCGCACTGTTTTTTTAGGGGAGAGACAGTTGGCGTACATAGTTGTATAGAAGATAGAGATTTTTTTCGGTATAATATTATCAACTAATACTGCCATTCGTCATTTTCGCTCTTCAGTGCTCAGAATGCTTGAAGAAAAAAACTACGTTCGATTGAGTGATTTGCTTGGCCCGAGAACCTACGGAAATTAAGAGAAAATTCAAGTGATTTTTTCTCAACAAATATACCGCTCCGGCTTAATTGCGACTTAGTAAGGATGAGCCATGAACACATGTCGAGTTGCAGATCCAAAAGAAAACGCCGTTGACTATTTTTATATCCGACACTAGCTACGTCGTATCACAGAGTAAGTCTTCTTTTAACCTCAACTCCAAGCCTCCCCCCATAACCATCGCCTATTAATTACAAGTATTGCACGGATCTGCAAAATGAGTACCCTTGCAACACCTATGGCACGGATTGCAACCATAAAGGCAACACGTTGCCGTTTGCCTGTCGCAGCAAGCAGAGTAGCAATTCTCCTTGCTTTCGCAATTAGCGAAACAATCGTTGTCGTCTCTGCAGGTGCGACTGGCGGCCAATTGAGCAAGCTCTGAGTCGGATCGTAGTATGAATCTGCCGGCTGCGAAACTGAAAAGGAGGGCAAATGGAATTATATGCATTCTGATTTGTTTAGGTTGTCGGCTTTTTCTTTTTTTTTTCTATAAGATTGAATGCGACGTTCTGAGGAATTGACTTGGCTTTGGATTAAAGAAGTAGGTTTGTGAGATGTGAAGATGGTATGATTGTTCTTGTTTTATTGGTTGCAGAAGGAGTTGGTATCGGTAAAGTGGCAGAGAAGGACTCTCTTTTCATGCAGAGCCAATATATAGACAAGATGAAAAGGAAAGCCCATACTTTCATCAACTGGTCGTTAAACTATGACAGAAATAGATACCCTGTAGAGGTTCATGCATATAATATAAGAATTATAAATAATGGGGAATCTGTAACCTGAGTAAGTAGAGTTTTGTCCTAAATTATGTATCCAAAGGCGTAGCGGGTTGCTAGTGGTGGAGAATAGAGACTACTCGCATTCGGCTTACTTCTGTTCGTTCCACCAAGAGACATTCCTGAGTGTGGGGTGGATCTGCTGCCGTTGCTGTAAATTCGAGTTCGCATTCTCAGATCAGCACATCGCGTGATGCTTCACTTTCACCTACAAACTGTGTTGCCAATAGGCCAGAGAGGCCTACAGAAGCTATAGGATATATGTACACACTCTCGCTGCCAGTCTCAATTTTCTATATATATATAAAACAAAAAAACTTGAATAGTTGTCAACGCCGTCCCGTTTCGTGAAGGCATAGAGATATCCTAGAATCCCCGTAGCCGAGCCACTGCCGACGCTCTAGACCATCGTAGAACAACAGAGAGGGTACGGGATAGTCTACCGACAACAAAGTATAAACGCAGAGGAGCATGTGTAAGATTTATTGGCTCGAATCTTCTGCTACAGATAGGTCTAGTGCTGATCTTACTGCATCGGACGGGCTCGCCGAGCCAACCACACGACTATTTACGCCACCAATATGTCAAAAAGGTAGACCACAAGCCAGATAAGCTACGCGTTGTGTTTCATGGTCGTTACTTAAGCTCGTGCGATCACGATTAGATACTCTGTACTTCGCCACTATCTTTTCTTCTCTCTCTTCACTCGTAATACATCCACTAAATAGTCGCATCATGGTATATAAAAGACCAACATATAACAGTCTGAGTAGCACTCCTAGACTACTAGAGTTTATGTACACAATCACTCTATTCACACTTAGTCCAAATCTGTAGCAACAACAATACCTGCGTTATATATCTCTTCCTTAACAAGCTAAATATAAAACTCACTACTATCGTCTCCACCATCCTTTTGGGAGTTGCCCCCGTACTCGCAGGCAAGAAAGTGTGGTGCGAATGGGCAGACTTTGCCGAGGTTGAACGAAAATGCTTTCACTCTATTTATGATCTTCCCATTATATGACTTACATGCTATTAAATCTTCCATCTACATTGAACTAACGCATTGATTTTAGACTGACGTTGGAACGTGTTGTGTAGTAAACACTGTGGAGAAAGTGAAACTCAAATCAATCTGTAAAGAACTCAACGCCGTGTTCAATTCAGGTGGATCCTGCAAGGGCAATGGTGAGTAGGAAGGGTTAGGGCTAGGGCTACATATGTTGGTATAACAAGGCCAACCTAGAAGACTTCTATTAGACAGCCATCTATACAATAGATTGTGTACTTGAGATTCTTAACAAAGATGTGATAGTGCAGGCAAGATGTCACAAGTAACAAAGAGAATTCTCTACCTAACAGGGGATAACAAAGTCAAGAGCTATGTCAGATGGTAGCAGTACCTAATGAACCGAAGGCTTGAGACATGTGACACGAATTGGCACTAAGACGTTTTGGCACTCTACCCCAGGAGACGTGTCCAGGCAGAACAAGACAATACACAGACCCTGTTCCTGTTTCAGGATTTGTAGTGATGCCGGATCCTTGTCAAGAGAGTTATCGGTCCGCCATCTCATTCCTGATTAAGCAGAGCTTGCCTAGCGAGGTTCGCTCTTTTGAGTACCCGGCACTGATCCTGTCTCGCCTTTTGTTGTACCAGACCCAGCAATGTGTTCAATAGGATTTGCTCTCGACCCCTTAGTTGCGCTATCTGGCTGCTGAAGTCGTTCAACACCGACACCCCGATCGAGCGACTTGGCAAAATTGCTCTTGTACGTAGGCTTTGGATGGTAGTATGGCGGTTCAGGTTGGTTATGACTTGGTCCACGAGCCAACACTTCATCAGAGGCATGCGCAGGCTCGAAAATAGGGGGATCAAGTTTCTGTGCAGCCTGGAGGCCAGAGGCACCACTTATCGAGCCGCGGAGACGGTGGATGTTTGCGTGATCTGTATACTTCATTGATTCGGCGTCAGGTCCGACAGGGAAAATGGGATCGAGTTTGTTGGCTGCTTCCAGTCCGGATAGTGCGCCTATTGAGCCACGATGCTCGTGTGGGGGGTTGGGACCGTGCTGGTGTTTATGGGATACATGCTAGGTATCTCTGAGACCATTTGAGGGGTTCCAGACGATTTCTTTATCGTCTGTAGAGGATCAGTTTATGGATTGATCGGAACCATATAGAAATATTTGAAATGGTTCGCAACGGGGATTGTGTAACTTGGTGCACACACTGAGACTCACCAGTGCCGTCGGTTTGCTGGAGAGGAAGAAATGTGTGTAAGTCAGCTAAAACGTTTAGCACAAGTATCAAACACGGGAGAGACATGATGTGAAGGGTATAATGATATTAAGTTATAAGACTGTATCTATCTGCGTGCATCGTATCCCGTACCACCGATTGTAGAAGTAGGATCAGCTCGGTGATCTTGGTCAGAGTCGAAGCGCGGGTCAAGCTTGTTGCCCACATTGGTCGAGTGGGGGCCAGCATTGGTAGAGCCGGTTGCTGTTCCCCTGTGGTCTGTGTCGGAATCAAATCTTGGGTCCAGCTTATTGCCAATGTTGGAGTCGTGTGGACCGTAGTTCGTAGACGTGGAAGTGGTATTGGTAGGAGCAACACCAGCACTTGTGGCATGACCGCGGTAGCCACGGTCCCATTCGTCGACTCCCTTGTTGGCAATCTCTTGGTTTTTGACTGCGCTCGCCTGGTCACCGCTTGCTTCGTCAACCATGGACATTGCATTGCCGCGGATGGCTTCGCCGGTTCCCTGAAACCTGTCAGCTACCAGCCCACGGCATTCCTTCCCAGCTCAAGATATGCAAGACTTACATGAACCATATTCACACCCTTGCGGATGGCATCGCCAAGGCCGGAACCAGAGTGTGCGCCAGTCATGTTGAGCGTGTCTAGTTGTAAACTATGAATAATAGTTGAAAGGATCAGGTAGCAAAAGCTTAGGTGCGGAGGTCGAGAGGGGTACCAAGTAATAGTGGATAAAGAGAAGGAAAAGAGGGCAAGATATACTTATGACGCTGCCGGCAGCTTCCACACCACATGCCAATTTACTAAGCCATGATCTGCGCTGTCTCAATACTAATATGCACACATGTGCATGTGCAAACGTATGGAAAGGGCATTGCGACATAGTCTTAGAATTGTGATGTCATGCACTCGGTATGGTATAGCTCCGACACCGATAGGGCTGAGCTAGGCTGCATTGGGTGACTGACGTGTTGGGGCTTGTGCTAGATAAGTGACGTCGGATATGATACAGTTGAACATATGCTGATGATAGCGTCAAAGCGTTCCAGGAATGTTGTACTTGATCGGCTTATGTAGTAACACCAGATGCTGTTCGTATCGCAACACTACTGCTTACCAGTAATCAGCCTGATGGAGCTGGAGGATGCGCCTCGCCGCGCCTCAATGCTTCCTACCGCGCCGTAGTCGCGTAGCCTACTCTATGGTAAGTAACTCTTAGCGTTACTGAGCAGCTAAGCACTCTGTTCATCAACATAGAAGTTACTTAGTAATATAATTAGTACTACTTAGTAGCATTAAGCAAGTGGACATGTCGTCTAGAGCATTGGTACAGAGTATAGGAATGAAACCACTACTTATAGCCTAATATGTTAATTCAAGTTTTGAGTACCAGTGAAATCCAAGAATTATCTGGTTACCGTCCAGCGCACTCTGTCGTTCTATCTGTGAAAAGCAACAGTAGCAATCTTGATACAAAAAGTCTGTATTTACTTCCACTCAAGACACAATCTTAACAATACGGTCATGAGGAAGACGGGAGCATGCATGTATAGGCAACTACGAGGCGCATGCTGCACTCCGATGGTCCTGCGTATCGATGGCTAACACCTGCTATATAAAGGCTTCGAGAAACACAGCGCTGGGTACCGGCGATTGGTACCTATTATTCTTGTACTTTGAGGATGAGTTCCGTACATAAGATGCATTACCCTCTACCTTTTTCTTGATCGATATGGGGTGCGCAACATGGATGCACCTAACTTTAGGCTTTGAATTTCCTCCATTCATTTCATAGGTACAATCAGGGCTTTGAACGCAGTTTGAAATGTCCATTGTGGATGCGGCTGAGCTGGGCTGAGCTGGGGCTGAGCAGCCTGATGCCTAACAATCCTTAACGTCCTGGCCTCGAAGCTGAGTCCTCGACATTCATCCTGTTCATCAAGTTTCTCTACGATCTCCAAAACAACCACATTCCCATACAATTCCCTTTACCTTTCGAAGACGCTGCGCGCCCAGTGTTCTTTTGATCGAATTGGTAGCTGTCGAGTCTCCACGCATATCGACCGCAACCGATTGGGATCTAAGTCCCCATTGATCTTCTCAAAGACCTAATACAACCCTCTAGCAATGGGTATATCGACGCCTACCAAACCCAGGACTCATAACGACTACACTGTGGGATGGATCTGCGCGCTACCCAAGGAGCAGACCGCAGCGAAGGCTATGCTAGACCAAATGCATCCGACTCTTTCCAAGCCACCAAACGACCCGAACACATACACTCTTGGGTCAATCAAAGAGCATAACGTCGTGATAGCCTGCTTGCCGAGAGGCATGTACGGCACTATTTCGGCAGCGACCGTCGCGGCCTGGATGATAAGCACTTTTCCATCTATCAAGGTCGGCCTCATGGTTGGCATCGGTGGCGGTATTCCACCCAAGGTCAGACTCGGCGACGTCGTGATTAGCACACCGGTGGATCAGTATCCTGGAGTGGTCCAGTGGGATATGGGTAAAGCGGAAAAGGATACTCATTTCAAACGAACCGGTGCGCTAAATAAACCTCCAAGCGCACTGCTAACAGCATTGACCACCATGGAGAGTACTCATGAGATGCAGGGATCTAAAATACGTGAGTACCTGGACGATTTGGGAAGGAAATGGCCAAGACTGGTGTCAGAATATACCAACTCCGATTCCCTCAAGGACCCTTTGTTCACACAAGACAATTACCGTCGTGGTCTGAGTATTTGGATGACTGTATTATCAATATACTGGGAGATGATGCTATCTATTCTTGGGTACTTCTTAGGGAGGGAGGCATTGGCTTCCATGGATAGTTGGGCGAAAATGATGAGAATCATAGCAGATTACAAGATTGGTGGGACTCAGAGGGAACCTGGAGATATGCGCGTGCATTACGGCCTAATCGCATCCGGTAATCAAGTGGTCAAGGATGCTAAGTTTCGCGATAGTCTCAATGAGAGCCTGGGAGGAAATGTGTTGTGCTTTGAAATGGAGGCTGCAGGGCTGATGAATGACTTCCCTTGTATCGTTATCCGTGGTATCTGCGATTATGCCGACTCACAAAAGAACAAATATTGGCAGAAATATGCTGCAGCGGTTGCTGCAGCATGTGCGAAGGAACTTCTTGAATATGTACAGCCAAGCGATGTTGACGGAGAGCGTCCAGTGAGGGACATATTGAGCCACGGTTAGTTATTCTCGAGACCTTGTATGCATTTTATAGTGAAATTCTAATAACACTGTAGTTCTCGACACTGTCTCTAGAACCGAAGCCAATGTTGAAACTGTGAGGTCCAAGTTAGACAGAAAAGAAGACCTCAAGGTCCTGAATTGGCTCACGCTGACCGACTACGGTTCTCGACAAAGTGATGTTCTCAAAAGGCGAGAAACCGGGACTGGTCAATGGATTTTAGACTCCACTGAATACCAGGATTGGCTTAAGACGGAGAGGCAGACGTTATTCTGTTCTGGCATTCCCGGAGCGGGAAAGACAATCCTCACATCTATTGTTATCCACGACCTCACCACAAGGTTTTCTAAAAATCCAAACGTCGGTATTGGGTACATCTACTGTAACTTTCAGCGGCAAGACGAGCAAAATGTCGACGATTTGCTGATAAGTCTGCTGAGACAGTTTGCTGAGAGCCAGCCCTCCTTGCCGAAGAGCATCAAAGATCTCTATTCTCTCCATGAAAACGAACGAACACGGCCGTCACTCCAGGAAATATCCAACACTCTTCATTCTGTTGTAGCCAAATACTCAAGAGTATTCATCGTCATCGATGCACTAGATGAATGCCAGACATCTAACGGCTGCCTGACAAGGTTTCTATCCGCGGTTTTCAAACTTCAGGGCAATATACTTGCAACTTCTAGAATAAACGGCGAGATTGCAAAGATGTTTGGCCAGGCTACAACGCTAGTGATTCGTGCGAGAGATGACGACGTAGAGGTATATCTAAATGAACGAATGAAGCTTCAACCGTCGGATATTCTAGATGATGCCACTAGAGACATGATTAAAAGGAAATTAGTTGGAATAATTGATGGGATGTAAGTCATACAACGAGCAAAATAGGGCGCTTGAACATAGTAACATGGAAAATCAGGTTTCTACTAGCAGAGCTATCCATAAACTCACTTATAATCCTGCCAACAAAAGGACATATCAAAGAGGCTCTCAAAAATCTTGGTAATGGAATGGAGGGATTAGAAAGAATTTACAACCTGGCGATGGAAAGAATCGAAAGCCAGGGAAGAGAGTGTCGAGATCTGGCGAAACAAATTTTGGCATGGATTGTTCATGCCAGAAGGCCACTTTTCACTTCAGAACTCCAACATGCCGTTTCAGTCAGGTCGAATATTACAAAACTAGACGAAGACTACCTTCCGACCATCGATCGACTTCGATCTCTCTGCGCTGGGTTGGTCACAATTGATGAAGGCAGTGATATCATACGACTGGTCCACTATACCACCCAAGAGTACTTCGAGCGCATTGGAGGCAGATGGAAACTAGATCCTCAGTTCTATATTGCTTCAACATGCCTTACTTATCTATCATTCGACGTGTTCAAAACAGGTGGCTGCTCATCTGACAAAACGTTTGAGCCGAGACTTAGAGAGAACAAGTTTCTGGACTATGCCGCTAAGTACTGGGGTAAGCATGCTGCAATAGTTGAAGGCGAGGTGTGTGGGCTAGCTTGTTCCTGTCTTTCAGACAGCGAGTTGGTTTCAAGCGCTACGCAGGCATTGCTAGTTCGGAAGATTAATTATAGGAGATACAGCCAGATCTATCCTCAGAAGAGCACAGGATTACATCTTGCCGCACGATTGGGATTATCGCTAGTGTTAGAGACGATGCTCCCAGAACGTGAAGGAGAAAGAACAACTGCACTAGAGAAAAGGGACAGTCACAACCAAGATCTATTGTATGTTGCAGCAAGCGCGGGACACGATAGAACAGTGGAGCTGCTGCTCGAAAAGGGCGCCAACCCTAATGCACGGAGTGGAGAGTACGGCAGTGCAATCCATGTGGCTTCAATAAGAGGCCACAAAGCGGTGGTAAAGGCGCTGCTCGACGCGGGCGCCGACCCTAACTTCAAGGGTAATTACTTCTACTATGCACTCCAAGCAGCTTCATATGGAGGTCACAAAGCGATTGTAAAGATGTTACTTGAAAATGGCGCAGAGATCAATGCGCAGGGTCAAGTCTATGGCGACGCACTTACTGCGGCTAAAGCTACACACCACAACGAGGTTGTAGATCTGCTTGTGGAGAATGGTGCCAAGAGCGTTTTGAAAAAAGAAGAAGAGGATATGAGATACGATCGTTCATATGACAAAAATACGAAAGAGAGGAATACTAGCGATAACAGCCCCGAAACGAAGCCCGGCATATTGTTGATGAGAGATCAAGTTCAAATGGAGGCGCGGCGATGATCAGACGAGGGAGACGGACGGACAATACGGCGAATTTATAGGCATCGGAGCACTACGCTGCGTGTCCTTGTTTCAACTATGGGTTGTTGTACTGCTGTCTCATTGTAACCGTATTTTGGTTGTCGTACCTAATAGCGTTGTGCCTAATAGTCATATACGCGTTGAGAAGTGTACATATCAAGTATTACTAAACGAATTTTTTTTGGTTCGAGCGAGGGTCTCCTGACGCTCATCTGAATCCTTTCAGTTTGACTGTAAAGTTAATTCTTTTAATACCTGATTCCGGTAGAGTAGGGTGTGACCTGCTATGCGTTTCTGAGACAATAGATCTGCTACGCTACATAGAAAACAGAGATAAAAAAAGCCAAGTCAGTCACAATACGGAGAATCTTGTGACATGGCTGAAGATGAGATAGAAATAACCAAGTTCTGTAGGAAGTCACAGCTCTGGTGTTTAACTGAAGGATTATGTGAGTTTGGTTAAGAAATCATAATAAACATGACTAAGAACGCAAGGCCACGATGGACCTTTATATGAACCACACAGTGTATTGCATAAGAAGAGGTAAGAATCGAGAATCTACGACAGTGCTTAGCACGACAGCGACGGACTACGATCACAAATGAAGTATACTAGCTCCTCTTAATAACCAGATCCAAAAGTCCCACTCTCACAGACTTAGAACAATAAACCAAGGTTAGACACAAAATATCGACAGGTTGGGAATGATATGGATACTTGAGGATCTATACAAGGCTTGGATAAGAACAATAAATTCCATGCACGTGACCATAGCCTCCTGGTCCTAAGGTTGCAGGTTTTATGATCTTCCTCTCGGCTAGGATAAACTATATTTACTCTATCATTAATCGTGCACTCATTTGCAATCATACGTTCGATTTCGTGAAGCGTTATTGGTAGATAAGGCGGCACTAAGTCTAAATAAGCGTCATGCTTCGTCTTTCGAACTTTGGCAGCCAAAGAGGCTTTTCATCGATGCTTCTACAAAAAACCTGTGCGATCCCGATTCTTTCAAACCTGCCACCAGTACCCCCAGCACAGGTGATCAACAGCATTTTCCATTCATCATCGCGTCCTTGTTGTTTTTCAGCTCTCGCAAGTATCAACGCATGCACAACGTCCGTGCCGGGATCCCTATCCAACAATGCGGCACCCAAATAAACTCCATCGGAATCTGAGATCTTCGAACTCCAGTCACCCGTCTTGTCCACCAAAATCGAATGATCGAACGGATGGGCTAAGCCCTGGAGAAATTCAATCTGCACCACACTCACCAGGCCGGTAATCTTCAAGAACCCTCTATTTACACGTCCAAACTCGTCGTTACTAGCAAGTTCAACGTGAAAATTGTTCAGATCGAAAAGTGCGGGTGGAAATCTTCTGTATACAGACATTGGCCAAAACAATGGCGTCTCATATGATGCCCAAGACCAAGAGGGAGGTCCATTGACTGTTGAACGAGGCACTATATTCACCACCCCCCAACACAAGCCGTATTGGAGACCCTCTTTCCAGAGACCAGCAATGTACGTCATATTCATGCTGCCTTGGACAAGTTTGGCAAGACCTGAAATTGCGGGCAGCCGGTCGGATGCATGTGTCAGTTGTCGTGTTGAGTAGTGTATGTACGGTATTTCGTGATACCATTTGGAGATTCGATCGAACAGATCATAGTCGCCGATACCATAGGCAGCAAGCTCCCGACCAAGGCTGGGACCTGTGGCAATATTATCAGTGTTATCCGTGAAAAGTAGAATTCCTTCCTCTATACGGGCTGCCTGTCGACATTCCCAGTAGATCTAGTTATTCTTGTAATGGAGAACACAAGTAGACAGTATTCTCTCTTGGCAAGCCCATGCCCTTTGCACTAATGCACCTTCAGCCATATCAGCTGCAAGATACATGGGAGCATGCGCGTCCTCATACAGTAGTAACTCAGTAGGCACCTCACGCCTCGTAATATTTCTCACCACCATCTTCCTCAAGGATGGAGAAATCTCGCTGCTGCTTTGGCGGTTGAAAAAACCATCATGCACACCTTGACTTTCGGTCGCGGCAATCGTGACAACAGCCTGACTGTATATGACGCCCATCTTTTGTGATTCTCGCTCCCAATCTTGCACAGAATCTTGAACGATACAAAGAGCATCTAGCCATAAGTAACGATACCCCAGATTTCGAGTTGCTGTGACTGCACGTTGAAATGTTCTTGGCAAGTCATTGTAGGATATGCGCGTCAACCGTGATAGTAGAGTATCCTGTTTTGTCACGTAGGACGAGTCATGACCCCAACAGTAGCTCAAGGCTACATATGTACAAACTTGATGCATTTCCACTAGCTTAATATCCTGAGACCGATGTTGAAAAGCTTCCACATCAATCATACGGGCTGGCCGGGCACCATCAAGGTACTGCGTAGTGAGTGTAGGAATAGCCTCAGAACACCGATGATGGACCCTTCTTCAACGTCTTCAAGGGTTGCTAGTAGAGCAATATTCTTCCTTGGAGTAGAAATATCAAACTCTCAGATCAACGGCCACGTCCAAGCACTGGCAATTCGAGTCTCATCATCTAACGAAGCGTCCTTGACTTGCATTTATTCAGCCATGCTGCTAAGTCAGAGCAAGTTCAATATCGCAAAGTGGGGCCACCTTCGCTTCCTATATACTTTGAAGGGTAGCCGTACAAGAACTCCCCATACTCAAACCGGGGCAAATCCCCTGTTCTGCTATACCGGTAGACGGTGGCTATGGAATGAATGTAAGCAAATAGAAGCCAGATATCGGTGTTTTAATATACCCAGTCTTCAGCAAGCGGCCTACAAAGCCATTGGTGCAGGCAGATGTACATCCTTCATAAAGATCGGCGAAGGCAACTACAACAAGGCGTATCGTATCGCCTGGAGGTGCTACCGACCAAAACTCTGTTCGAGCGGAATACATGATCAGGGAAGAAGCAAAAGGCACCCAACTCCATGAAACCTGGAAAGATCTGACAAACATCCAGCGAGTGGAACCACTTCCACACCAACACCACCGCATGCCCGTACACTTTCTCAGCAGGGCAGATAAAGCAACACGACGAAGAAGCCGAGACATTCACCAAAAGCCAAGACTTCTGGGGGGCACTAAAGGGCGTCTTGACTGGATAAGATAGAGAGTGGGGAACGATGCGGCTTTGAGGAAGAGACGCGTTGGATTGCGGAGCTTGATGGGCATGGAAAATAGCACTTGCATTCATCTTTGTAAGAATAGGTAGTGGTAAGAGCACCATCAGTGATCTGTGTGGCTTCAAGGTACAACGAGCGAATGAAGCTCGGATTTTACAGACATGGTCATGTCCATCTCTTGGAAGAAATTAAAACACAAGTAGATTAATCTTAGTACTTACTTTATTCTAGTAGCAGCTCTGAGTGTAATTGCAGTTGTAAGCTACATGTTATGATTAATTCCTAGTAGAGGAGTCTTTCATGCACGAAGAAACGTGATTTAATTAGTTCCATGAACCTATTGTATACTGCCCCTAATGATGTTCATACAGATGTTAGAAATCTATCTTTAGCAAGCGCATGGTCACGTGACGAACACCGAAATCTACACTACATCGTTCAAAGCAGCAAACTAGAGGTGCCGGATTAGTGGGCATTCGGAGCAGCCTACATGTGAGGGAAATTATTGCTTTGCAAACTTTCTGTAGACTTAGCATTGTATATATTTAACAAACTTATACACCAGCCTCCACGAACAGAGTTTTTGAACTGTCAATCACGGTCATGCCACTAATCAATGACAACAGAGTTGATCAATATGTTTTACATTCTTTCATATCTGGACATTGCTTCGTAGTCTATTACATACATCTGCACCGTTCGCCAACCTCATCACCAGGACCGTTGACTCCTTGTAATAATGCTTGCAGTTTTAGCGTATGCTCACCCGCAAACGCCTACCTCACTGAGAGGCCGAGCTTGATACCAATTACGGCTCGGATAAAGCGATTTAAGCCTTGCCAGCAGTGTAGAAGTCGTCAAGAGCGACCTTGATGCGCTGAGACATGCTCTTCTCACCCTCACGGACCCAGACACGGGGGTCGTAGTACTTCTTGTTGGGCTTGTCGTCACCGTCGGGGTTACCCTATCAGAAAGTTAGGTACTGTAAGTATAAAAATTATTCCAGATTCAGCATACCACTTGGGTCTGGAGGTAACCGCTCTTGGACTGAATGTAGTCCCGGATACCGGAGAGGTAGGCCCATTGCATGTCAGTGTCGAGGTTGACCTTGACAACACCGTATGAGATGGCTTGGCGGAAGTCATCGACAGAGCTACCGCTACCGCCGTGGAAGACGAGGAAAACGGGCTTGTCCTCCTTGGAGTTGGTCTTCTCCTTGACGTAAGCCTGGTGCTTTTGGAGGAGCTCGGGGCGGACTAGGAACCACAATGTCAGCATGTCTTGGAAAATATGCCGGTTCACTGATACTCACGCTTGACGTTTCCGGGCTTGTAGACACCGTGGACGTTGCCAAAGCCGGCGGCGATAGAGAAGAGGGGAGAGACGGCGGACAGCTCCTTGTAGATGTCGTAGATGTCCTCGGGTTGAGTGTAGAGGGAGTTGTTGTCGACATCCTCGTTGTTGACACCGTCCTCCTCTCCTCCGGTGATACCGATTTCCATCTCAATCATCTGCTTCATTGGTGCAGCGCGTTCGAGGTACTTCTTGGTGGTGGCTGAAGGTGAATGTCAGCATATGTCCAATTAATGTTTTCTCTTCTCGTTCCTGTGCTTCGGTGATGTGCTTACCAATGTTCCACTCCTTGGGCTCCTCAGAGAGATCTGACGAAATGGTTAGCAGAGTGAATATGCCGGGACGCAGTTTCTTTTATCTCACCAATCATGTGCGAGCTGAAGAGAGCCTCTCCGTGAGCCTTGAAGTAGGCCTCGTCGGCATCCATCATGCCGTCCAACCAGGGCAGGAGCTTCTTGGCGCAGTGATCTGTGTGGAGGACAACGGGGATACCGTATGCAGGGGCAATGGACCTGATGTAGTGGGCAGCAGCAATGCTACCAGCAATGCTGGCCTCCTGCTTGCCGTTGGCTACGCCCTTGCCTGCAAAGTATGCGGCACCTGTTCAATTATGGTGTTGAGTACATATCTCATAAATGGTCTGTTTGGGCATTCTTACCTCCATTGCTCAGTTGCAGGATGATGGGAGACTTTGCGTCGCGGGCAGCCTCGAGGGCAGCGACAACTGTGGAGGAGGAAGTGACGTTGATGGCGGGGATGGCTGTGCAAAAGTCCGAGTTAGTGATGGTCGCCGGGGATTCAGCTTGTCGTGATGCATACCATAGCCCTCTGACTGAGCGTGCTTGAAAAGCGCGAGGATCTGGATAGTGTCAGTTTATTGCGCAGATTGACAGTTGAGTATCAAGGGTCGCATACGTCGTCGCCGACGATGACACCGGTCCTGTTCGATGTCAGTTTGCGCGTTCTAACGTGATCTGAGGGGTCAAGCGGGGTCGAGAGCAACATACTTGCGGGACAGGACTTCACTGGCTTGAACCATGGTTGCTGTTGTCTTGGAGATGTGCTGTTGTGGGTATGGGTATATGATGGGGTGGAGGGTCAATTGTAAGGTTGGAGATGGGGAAGAGAAGGTGTGATGAAGAGAAAGTTTGTGCAGGCGTGTCGAGCTTTGTATTGCTCAAGTAAAGTTCAAACGCGGTAGTGGGGTTGGCTGGCGGACCACAAAAAACACCCCCGCTAAGGACCGCAGTAGTGACGCAGCTGGTGTCGCCCAAGCCTTCACCCACCACCCAGCCCAGCCAGGGTCTGCGCAGAAACATACATAGTTGCAACGCCACACAAATGTGCTTGATAGATAACGCTATGCAATTGTCGCCTTGATGCTACCACTTAGTTGCCCTTGAGCCTACCTTTGCTTTTGTTCTTTTTGATGGACTGCCCACTGCCCCTCGCAACGGACCGCAAGTGGTGGTAGTGGTGGTGGTGGTGGTGGTGGCACGTCTCCAACCATGTCCTTCACGGCCGCGCTCTGAAGTCATGGCGGGGCCGCGTCTGCTCGGCAGCGCGGAACTAATAAAAGTGGGCTGTCTCTTTTCTGCATCTCATGCCATGGCCATAGGTAGCTCAACGCAACATCATCGCATCCACAGGTGACAGGCTGCCCGACTCTCGCCGCAACACGCCAGTCGTCCCGTTCACCGGCCCCGCGCCAAACCACACAGTCGCCAGTCCGTCAGGGTCCCACCAATGATATCACCCTCGATTCACCGGAGTACATGCGACATATCGTGATTAGCATTGAGCTCTTGTCTGCTTCTGTTCCGATATGCGGAAATCTTAGTCACGTGTTCACTATAGTAGCCATGTCCTTTCTGCACCCGGACAAGCCCTCGTTTCCCGAGGTTCTGGGCCCTTCTTCGGCTTCATGCCAACAGCCTCGCAACGGCTTGCAAGCCCGCGACTGGCCGCTCATGCTTCCGAATCTTTCGCCCTGATCCGTATGTTCCGTACCAGTGTCCTCTCTGCGCCCGGCAACCGTATCTCGGCCTTGAATGTGCCCAATTGCTTCACCCGCGATGCATCGCCCTCCTCATGTCCTGATACAAACTTGACATCACTCTCGTTCAGAACAACTCGAGATGCTTCATCGTTGTGCGCCAGCGCGCTCTTGATAGTCGTTGCCAGATCCGCAGTGGATACAGATCCGTATATAGCGTTTGCCGATGCCTTCGCCTTGCTCATAGCAGCTGCTGTCAGAATGTCCGCTGCGCCCGATGCCCCTACCCGTTCTCGTTTTGGACTGTCTTGTTCGATAGGCTGGCGGTAAAAGTCAATCGTTGGTGGGACGAACATGTCGAGGAGCTCCATGGACCGCTCAGGCTATTCTTTTTGTTAGCAGGCCGGTTTGCAACCAAAGGCATCATGTAGCTTACACTGAGCACATCAATCTCAATTGGCCGCACAAAGTACTTGGGCTGCTGCATCGACTCGCTCTCTTCCTCATCGGCCTCCTCCAGATTCAGCCTTACGCCAAATGTGACGTCGCGTGCCAAATCCACGTCCTGAGCCTTGAGCTGCTTCAACTGCGTAGCGGGAACATAGTCGGCAATGCGTGCGGGAAACCAGCGATTGCGCATCAGCGAGGGGTTGAGGGGGACATAGGAGCCTTTGCAGTGTTAGCCAGTGCTGCAGTTTGTGGTTTCTAGGCGCATGCTTGACACTGCAACAATGGCTTTGCAGCAAAGACATGTCGAGCTCTTGCAAAGCGCACTCCATTCCATATATCGTACCTGCGCGGCCAAACCTTGGCACATCCTTGAGCAGCTTCACGACAATGTTGCGCTCGGCCTCTTTCGCCTTCTTCGAGATGCTGCGTATCTGCTGCGTCCCCCACGCTTCAGAATTTTGCAGTGTGGCCCTGCGTACACATGCGGTGCACTGGGGAAGAAGGGCCAAGCCCCTCATTGAAGCCATTGTGCGTGTTGTCTGGGAGTTTGTCCGGGTCCGAGAAATATGCAAGACGTCCGGACAATTCTGGCGATCTTCGCGGCGGAAGCGGAGGTGCAAATGGGCCGGTGCGACTTGCCGTACGTCGATGGGCTAGGCATACTTTTGCACCCGCCTCACGACCAAACACCAGGAGACGGCCAGCGCGATACCCAAAACTGGGCAGCAGCCAGACAATGGCGTCGGCCGCAGCCAGACTTACTCCACACAGTACTACGCAAACCTAGCACGACCACGCACCGTATTTGCAGCACCCGTGTGCAAGACCCTAACCTTGCCTCCGTCCAATCCCGCGGTAGCGGGAGTGCCAGGCTCCGCAAGATGCCTGAGAAGCCTCTCACAATCGCGACGTACGCCGCCGGCGCCTCTCTTGCCGCCATCACTCTGGTCTATGTTTTTGGACCAACGTATTTCCTCGACGATGATTCAAATGCAGCTAGCAGTAAGAAGAAGGGCGTAGTTGGGCTTACCAATGCAGCAAACGACTGCTTCATCAACTCGGTCCTACAGGCCCTCGCCGGCTTACCGGATTTACGCATCTATCTCATACGAGAAACCCACAGGCGGCTGCTCGACGGACCAGAAGTCTACGATGTGGACCCCGAGAGACAAGGCATAGCCAATGGGCCCGTAAAGCCTGCCAGGTTGGAGGGTCTGCAAAGGGGCATCCTGACCCATGGATTGAAAGATGTCCTAGACCGACTTAACGAACGGCCAATATACAAAAAGACCATCTCTCCGCAGCCCTTCATCAGAACGCTAGAACGTGCATTCGGCACACGCATCAGCCGGCAACAACAAGACGCGCAAGAATTCCTCCAAATAGTAACGGAGCGTCTGTGCGATGAATACCATGCTGGAGGAAATGCAAGGCGACAGGCTACCCTAGATGCCGTCACCGTTGTGAATGGCGACAGTATTCCTGAAGGAATCATCGTCGAAGCGCTGCCCAACGGGACGATTGCTCAAGCACCCGTTGACGGCCAGGGCGAAAACGAGGCCGAAGGAGACGAAGTCTCTACAGATGAAGAAGGGTTCCCTTTTGAGGGCAAGATCGAGTCGCAAATTGAGTGTCAGGTTTGCCATTTCAAGCCGAAGCCTACAGTATCAACATTCGTCACTTTGACTCTGAATGTACCACAAGCCTCCTCGACCTCTCTCAACGCGTGCCTTGACGGCATGCTCAAGCTTGAGTACATAGATGATTTCAAGTGTGAGCGCTGTCGACTAGAACATGCGCTCAGGAGCAAAGATCATGAGTTTTCAACAGCAACTGACCCAGACATCAAAGAACGACTGGAATCAGACATTGCTAAGATTCGAAAAGCACTAGATGAAGATCCTGAGCAGACACCGGAGGGTGTTGAGTTACCTGCTTCAAGTCAAGCACCCAAACGTCGGATTTCCCGCCACATGTACATTTCACAGTTTCCCAAGGTTCTTGCGATACACCTATCACGTTCTACCTTTGCGATTGGTGCCACCTCAACGAAGAATCTTGCCAAGGTCGCCTTCCCGGAAGCTCTTCCATTAGGAGGACTGCTTCATCGCAAGAACTACCGCCTTCTTGCAGTTGTCACTCACAAGGGAAGCCACAACAGTGGCCACTACGAGTCGTTCCGCCGTCAAGTGCAGCCAATGCCCTTCTCCACGCCCGTGTCTTTTGGCACAGAAGGTGCATTCAGTCGTCAGGCCAGTCCGCATCCATCAGCAGCGCCATCCGCAGTGCCGTCTGCCATGCAAAGCCCACGCATCTCCACACTCAACCTGCCCAACCATATCGAACGCGGATCAGGAGTCTCCACTACATCGACACTCGACTCACCATCGTCACGATCGCTGTCGTCGCAAGAAAACATACCACCCTCACGAGGGCCAGCCCCAACATCTGCACCTCGACTATCAGAGTCAGACCCGTCGCATCTAGCATCCCCCACTGACGTCAGGAATGGTAGTGGAAGCGGGGATGAATCTTTGTCTCGGACAAGAAGTATACGATCACTGAGGGAACGGGCGTCAGAGAAGGCCTCTTCAATCGCAGATAACAATCTCCGGCGTCGCAAGCCGAAGAAGGCTAACAACCGGTGGTGGCGGATTAGCGATGACAAGATCAAGGAGAGTAAGACGTCGGAGGTTCTGAACATGCAGAAAGATGTGTATTTGTTATTTTACGAGCTGAATAATAGTTAGAATTTCGGCATGGGGCTTATCTCTGCGAGTGTTGTACGACGGTAAGGGATATTATACATCGGTGAGCACCACCAGTTGGATTAGCATTCTTCTCTTAATTAGACGGACACATGACTCCCCAATTAAAAAACCTGTAAATATTGTGCAATCGTGTACTGCACGCAAGCAGCCCGTAGCCAAGTGCTGTCTTTGGAGCGTGTGCCTAATCACCCTTGATCTCATTGGTCAACACCCCCACGTGGCCTAGATTCCCTCTCTTGCAACGAATTAGTAACTAGACTAACGTCCTGCAATGCAACCTACATACCTCACCTTTTCCCCTCACTTTGTTGTTGTTACGCTGCACGACTTGCATACAAAGGAACAAGTGGTTGTATGCGTTGTCCGCAACGCCACCCTTTGCAATTTACCCCTCGTTCTCTTGTTTTCCGTTGTGCAAGTCTTGCTGCCTTGGGATAAATCTTACTGCATTAGCGATTATTGTATTTCTCAACCTAGTGATTCTAGGTAGTAGGATTGGGGTATTTAAAGAGAGAACAAGGACGGCTGTGGAGCGTAACCTGTGGATCGTGTTAACTGCTCGTGTTTGAAAAAAAAAGGGGGAAATGGTGTTATAGACGACACTTCATAACCCTCCATTAAACAAAGGCGTCTCTCTCTCCACACCACAAGGCTAAACCTGCCATTCCAAGGTTCAAACTCAACCCTACTACCCCCCATCCCCCACCCCACCAAAATGCCGAGCCTCGAAGCAGGCGACTCACCCTTCACGCACGCCAGCAACAAACTATCCCTCACCAAACCCCCGCGACTCCTCATCATCGGGGCCGGAAGCCGCGGCGCCGCCTACGCTGACGCCACATTACTGTGCTCCAACGCCATCATCGCCGCAGTATGCGAGCCCAACGACTTCAAGCGTGCCGAGTTTGGGCGAAGGTACATGTGGGGACCTGATGGCGAAGCCACTCCTTCTCAGAGTTTTAGAGATTGGAGGGAGTGGAAAGAGTATGAGATGCAGCGACGGGAGCGAGAGAGGAATGGTGAAGCGAATGTGAGTAAGGGGGTTGATGCGGTGTTTGTTTGCGTCTTAGATGAATTGCATGAAGAGGTTGTGTGCGGGATTGCGGATATGGGGTTGCATATTTGCTGTGAGAAGCCCATGAGTACGAGTTTGGAGAGTTGCGTTAAGATGTATCAGGCACTTTCCAAAGGTGCGAGAGAGGGGAGAGAAACGATTTTTGGGATTTGCCATGTGTTGAGGTATTCGCAGCATAATATGTTGCTGAGGCATTTGGTGCTGGATGAGGAGGTTATTGGGGATGTGGTGAGTGTGGAGCATGTTGAGCCGATTGGGTGGTGGCACTTTAGTCACAGTTATGTGAGGTATGGTGTCTATGGACTTTTTTCACTGGCGTATGGCTAACACGAGGTAGGGGCAACTGGAGGAAAGAGTCCAAGACTGCGCCTTCCTTGCTTACAAAGTCATGTCACGATATTGACTTTTTGATGTGGATGCTGTGTTCCCCCGGTGCCAAGGCAAAAGACGCGGTGCCTCATCTTCCTTCGTACGTCACTTCGACTGGATCACTCAAGTTCTTCCGCAAAGACCGGAAGCCAAAGGCTGCTGGATCAGCGACCAACTGTCTATCCTGTGCGCACGAGCCAAACTGCGACTGGAGTGCAAAGAAAATTTACCTCGAGGGGCATTTGAACAATGGCAATGCAGATTGGCCGGTCAAGGTTGTCAACCCGGAAATCGAAGACATGTTCAAGACGGCTGGGAAAGAGGTTGCTGGCAAGGCACTGCTCAAGAGCCTGGCCGAGGACTACACCGCTGATACTCCGGCCAGCAAAGTGGACGAACGGTCGTGGTTTGGTCGGTGTGTGTGGGAGTCGAGCAATGACGTATGCGACGACCAGTGCGTGACGATCACATGGGACGATGACCCGATAGCAAAGGATGAAGAGGGTCTGCCCATACTGCGTGGCCGCGGTGCAAAGACGGCGCAATTCCACATGGTAGCGTTCACGGAGAAGCAGTGCGAGCGACGTGGCCGCATATACGGCACCGAGGGCGAGATTGAGTATGACAGCAGAGAAATCAAGGTGTACAAGTTTGGCAGTGGACAGACAAAGGTGCACAACCCATATGTGGCAGGTGGTGGTCACGGGGGCGGAGACGAAGGACTTGCGCGGCAGTTTTTGCTGGCAGTTGACGCTGTGGATTCAGGCGCCATGGCCGCGGCAGACGCTCAGCGTCGATACCTCGGGTGCGACTTGAATGAGGCTTTCCGCAGCCATGCCATGGTTTTTGCGGCTGAAGAGGCCCGAACGAAGCGCCAGGTGGTGGAGTGGAAGAGGTGGTGGGCTGACCGGGTGGGGTCGCACTTGGACCAGCGGTAACGTGGGTGGCATGGGTTGATGGGTTTGCATGGGCTGCATGGAATGATGACAATTGATGCCAACGCTGGTCAGCATAGCGGGCGCGTACAGAGGGCAAAAGGGCATGAATGACATGGCATGAGGCTCTTGCAAAGCTTGGTTCACGGGGTTCATGGGCAGGCGAAATGAAGGCTGTGCAGTGTCGTGCCAATCCGGAGCCAGCGCTCCATGAAGCAGTCCTGACCCCAGAGACGTTTGACAGGTAGAGGCTCCGCTTTCAGGAAATTAACGGCCTTTTTGACAGTGGCGATCTGACTCGCTCGGGCTATATTTGGGGGGCTTTGGTCAAACCTAATACTTCCCGATTGGGCAGAGTGCGGGCGCTTAATGAACCATGTTCGGGATGCCGGACGGTGAGGCTCAAGGGAACGCACCACACAGCAAGGCTGCTGGCCCAGTTCTGGGTGAGTACCGACGGCTGAGCGTACGGGCGCTTGGGATTGGCGGATGCCGTGGTCATGGAGCCTACCGGGGATGATGGTTTGGTCCGGTCGTAGTACCTGTACGCTGGGCGAACAGACTGCTGGCGCTGTGGATGCTCGTCGCTGTACTTTTGGTGTGCTCAGGCGGGCGTGGTGGCGACAGCGCAGCAAAGGTGGGCTTGGGCCGGGACCCCGAACGTGGTGCTTTGTCAACAACGCGGTCTTCCAAGTCTACGCGTTGACGTGTAGAGGGGCTTGAACGACGTGTTATAGTCGTGAATACACTTCTCTCCGCCCATTGTGAGTCACTCAGTCGTGCATGTGGCCGGCCTGCGGGAAGACGCATGCCGCGCTGCCGAAACGAAACGCTGGAGAGCTGACAGCCAATCAGCCCCGATACCCCATCGATGACTCTTCATCCCCCCCGGCTGCCCCCCCGGCTGCCTGCCCCACCCTTCGCGGGACCCAGCACGGGCCTTGCGGCAGGGCGCCAACCACACCTGCACTACAACCCTCCATTCGTCCCTTCGCGCCGCCCACCCACAAACTGCCGCCATGGGAGAAAACAAGAGAACGAGGGAAAAAAATGTGCTCCCTCACCGTACTACCGCTGCATCGCTACGCAGAGAACGGGGCCGAGAATCCCGGTTTCAAGTTGTCCAACCGCCCCCATGTGCAGGCGCCTCGCTGGCCTGCCTTACCGCTTCGGTCTGCTGCTTGGTACCGCTGGCCATTCACACACCGTCAAGCCTGCCCACCAGACCACTTCAAGCCTGCCAGGCCTCAAGAATAGCATTCCAGAAAGCCGTTCGCTAACTAGCCACGTACTCGCCCAGCCCATGCAACGGCTACGCTATGTTTCAGACGCCCTGTGAGGCTCGCATGTCGTAGACGGCTCCGCTCGTGCTACTGCCGCCAGACCGCCTCGCTCTCTTGTTGTATACCGGCCCAAGGTATCGGACCCCCTTCGATGCATCGTGTTTCAGGCTTGTTAGCGCGGTGAGAGCGTTGGTTCTCGTGTCTCTACGCGGGGAACACCAAGGATAAGAAGTCTGGCTGTGCCGCAATCCATCATGCCCATTCATTCATCTTGCGCTGCATTTCCATCAAGAGCACTGCCTCACCCCGAGTCAACCGTGTCTCGCCCTTGCTTTTCCTTTCTCTCTACCTTTGCATTGTTTGGTCTTAGACACTCGGAGCTGGTCTCTACTATTAATCCCTATTCCATAATCTCCTACCTGCCTCTTCTCTCAGTCTCCACAGCGTATGTTATTTTTTTTCTTCTTCCCTGGACCCCTTCTCACAGACCACGTGGGCTGCCGCTGACATGAACCAGTCTGGTAGCTCTCATCCACCCAACATGTACAGCCGTCAAACAACCCCCCCGAATGCTTCATTCAACTACATCCCCGGCAGTGTCGGCTCAGATATCACATACTACTCGCAAGCCTCATCACCAGAACCCCAGCTGGCTGTCCCCACTCCCCCACGGTCACCAGTAAGGCAATATGGTCCTGTTCTCCTCCCCAAGGTTCGCGTTCAGGACCAGGTATCTGAGCCCACCACTGGTCCCGTCAGACATCGCAGGACGACGTCTAACTCCAGTGCCGGCTATGCCTACAGCCCCTACTCACGTTCATCCTCCATGGCCCGCCGTGGATCAAGCCCTTTGAACCACAACATCCACAACATCCACAGCACACTCACATCCCCCGTGTCAACTGCCTCGTCATACGACTTCAACCTCTCCACTCTCAACTCCCCCATCACCTACCCACAGCAGCCTGAACTTCCTCGGCGGTCATCATACATGAGCTCGCACTCTCGCTCAGCCTCTGCCAACCGCGCCCGCCACGATCGCTCTGGCTCCGCCGGAAGTGTCGACGAGCAAGTCATCAGCCGCTATGGCTTCCCCACCTACCGCAACATGCCTAGCTATGTCACTGCCTCGGCTGCGCCTCAGTCCAACTTGGGTGTTGCGACGGCTTTCCCCTCCACATACTCCTCCGCCCAGGACATGTCCAACTTCACTGCGTCTTGCATCCAGGAGTTTTCTGTCCCAGAGTTCGACACTGCCCCAGCTGTTCAGTACCCAGCTTTTGGAGACTTCGCCTTCGATGGCTTCCAGCAGATGCAAGCCACATCCTCTTTGGTAGAGTACCTCGCTTCTCCCAACCCATCTCCATCTCTGGTCCGCCGCGTCACTAGCGCACCCCGAGGCATCAACAACCACTTCTGGTGGGACATCCGCAACCTTCGCAGCTGGGAAGACTTCAACATCACCACCATCAAGTCCATTCCTTCTGTGCTCCCCCTCCTTGAGGTCCCCGTCCCAGCCACCTACCTTCCCCAGCCCTGCCGCCAGAACCTGCAGCCCGAGAACGAGTCGGCTCTTCAAGATATCTGCACCAACTACTACGCCAACAAGGTCAATGCAGCTCTCAAGGTCGCTCAAGGAAACAGCCACATGATCATGCGCGCCATCAAGCCAGTAGCCGGCCAACGTCAACAACCAGAGTTCATCTCCAACTACCCCTCCGACTACGAGAAGACGCTCTTTGGCGACAGCCGTGGCCGCGTCGTTGGTCTTGTCAAATGCTACGACCAATGGAACACTGGTATGCGCAGCGAGTCACCCCCCAAGCAAGTCCTCTACCTCCAGGGCCTCGCTCACCTCCAACGCGTCATGCGCGAGCACGGCTGCCGCTACGGCTTCATCATGACCGAAATTGAGCTTCTTTGTGTCCGCTGCGGTGGTCCCTCCGACATGTCCACCCCTGACCCCACCACCGTCAATGCCCAAACCGGCGTGCCCATCTTCGGCTACCTCGAGACCTCAGCCCCCATCAGCCTGTCAACCAACGGCTCTCACCCAGAAACCGGTGACATGCAGCTTACTGCCGCGCTCGCCCTCTGGTACCTCCACATGCTTGCCAAGGAGAACCCCTTCGAGGGCATGGGAACCTGGCGCATGGACGTTGGCGGCCCTGCTGCTCTCACCCGCCAAAACTTCCTCGAGAAGGACTCTTGGATCCCCAAGCCCCAGCTTGGCGAGAAGCGAGAGGCTAAGCGCGTCAGAGGTTGGGTATTCCCCGATGAGCCGCTTAGCAAGAGGGAGTGCGGCAAGGGCAAGAGGGGCAAGAGCATTGGATAGATGCGGGGCTTATGAGCTGCTAATGAGGATATGAGGATATGACTGGGACATGATACCATGTGGATGAAACAACAAAATACATATATACTAGTGTGATACCGCTGGTCGGTATCGAATTTCGCCTATTACTTGTTTACCCTTTTTTTGCGACAAGAGGCATTGAGCGGCGTTTTCCTTTTCTTTCTTCTATTCTGACTCAAGCTTTTTGATTTGAGTAGCATCTCATAGGGATTCGGCATAGCATTTACAAGGCGCGTGGGATATCCAGTTTTCATTTTTTTCGTTACATATTACAGACTAGTTTATAAGTAAAATTCATTATCACTATTACTATTGCTTCTAGGTTGGTGGCTGGTGATGTAGGCACGTGACTTTGCTGAGGGGACTTGAGCCTAGACCTGCTCGAGACGGGCCTTGTGTCCTGGAGAGTACAATAGACTGAAATAATCAAAGTTTTGCTATTGCTATCTTCGTGAATGGATGTCTATCATTTGGAAATTTGTAAGACCAGGGAAGTTCATAGGTCGTACTGTCTATTTTTTGTTGAAGGCATCCATATCCAATCATAGACAATTCTTTATTAGTCCGTCTGCCGAGCTGCAGCCTTGACGCCGCTCAACCTCTACTACATTTTTTTCCACAAAAGCAGGTGCAGGCTTGTGTGCCAATCACATGTCTGCGGACTGCGACCGTTGCGCCATACGCAGATCTGTCAACGGGAAACCCCATTGTCAGTGTGTCTTTAGGTGAAACGATGTGCATGGGAGAACCACGTTTATGACGACAGGTATGGAACGTACTCTACACATGTGCAAGTACCTAGTGTACAGACGTAGCGCTCGGTTTTTGGAATCATTCAGCTCTCGGGATGGGCCACCCTTGCAGAGTCATGTCACATCATCTTCGTATCCGCAACAAAACTGCCCGCATATACGTGCATTTCTTACAAACTGTGCAGATGTCGCATAATGTTGAAATCCTGATTTGGGTGCCGACGTAGCAGATGTGCTAATCGCATACGTACACCATGGTGGCTAAGATCAAGGGTCGTGATAGGTCAGAAGGGTGACACGATCAGGCTCAAGCGATTTGGTATGGTGCCATTTGCTCAGAGATCGGGTCGTATTAACATTGGAACCAGATGGTGCAATGAGTACTATGCGGATACATACTAGAAGATGGACAATCAGCCGCCCCCAACATGACAGTAAAGTGTCTTCTTGATCTAGACTCTGAGAAGCACTATCCATGGTAGTGGTGCTTCAGGGTCTGCTGTAGTCAGTCGACTTGTAGTGTTCACGCTGCAGGTACGGCTCTAGGCATGCTGATGCGGGAAGCGGCTTTTGGCGGGCAAAGAGTAATTCTCGAGTCAATCAGTATTCGCGTGTTTTTGATGCAGCATGTTTGGTATTCAGGACGGCTGACTGGCAGTCAGATATAAAAGCATGACAGGGTGGGTGGTGGGGGAATAGAACAAGGGCCAAGGGCAGGGAGGGCGGAGAGAATGCATTGACCGCCACGTGCGCTAAGGATGCTAGGGGGAAAGCCGCGATTCTGATTCTGGTCCACACAAAATTAACTGCTGCCCCTCCATCCTCACGTCCCGCACAAGCTGCACAAGCCCGACGAGGCGCAAAATAAAGGGAAAAAGCACGCGTGCCTTTGTCCGTTCTCTGTCTCTCCCGCCAATTCTTACTCGACGCCACCGTCTGTGGCCGCAGCAATAGGCGTACATATACTTACCCTCTTACCCCAACCCCCACCGGCCTTTTCTCACCGCACCGGCTCCCGGGACGTCGTCTGCTACATACAGTAGGCCGCCGCCAATCCTCGACGCAATCTCCGCCAGCCACTCTCCACCATGGACGTTGCCGGCTTGCGGGACCGGATCCAGGCGACGCTCGACGCGAATGCCGCCGTTAGACAGCAGGCCGAGCTCGACCTCAAGCATGTGCGTGGTGGCTGCGACACACGATCCATACTCGAACAGGGCACTGACGGAAACATAGGCTGAAGAAAAGCCAGGCTTCACCGGCGGCCTGCTAGACATTCTTGAGCAGGAGCAAAACAACGCCGTGCGTCTGTCGAGTAAGTATGCGCCCACCAAGTATGCACATGAGAGCCCTCCCCTCTAACGTCCCGCCCACAGCCGTCGTCTACCTCAAGAACCGCATATCCAAGGGCTGGTCGCCTGCCGAGGAGTATAGCCAGGCCATACCCATACCAGAGGATGAGAAGACTGCCTTCCGCAACCGTCTGATCCCCGTCCTCGTCGCCTCTCCACCCCAAGTGCGCCTCCAACTCATTCCTACCCTCCAGAAGATCCTCGCATATGATTTCCCTGCCAAATGGCCGGATTTCCTCGACATTACTGTACAACTGCTGAACGCTGGAAATATTGAGTCGGTGTTTGCCGGTGTGCAGTGCTTGCTGGCGATATGCAAAATCTACAGATTCAAGTCTGGCGAGAACCGCGCAGACTTTGACAAGATAGTTGCCATGTCCTTTCCACAGTTGCTCAACATTGGCAACTCACTGGCGGGCGAGACAAGCCTGGAAGCTGGCGAGATATTACGGACTGTGCTCAAGGTGTACAAGCACGCCATCTATGTAAGGTCCCAACGCGCGCATGGCAGAAACGGCGGCTGACTAGTATGCAGTTCGATCTCCCCGCATCTCTCCGCGACCAACAAGTCATGGTTGGTTGGTGTACGCTGTTCCTGACCGTGGTCGGCAAAGAGCCCCCTGAGTCATCACTCCCCGAAGACCTCGACGAGCGCGAAGTAAACCACTGGTGGAAGGCAAAGAAGTGGTCTTATGCAAACTTGAACCGATTATACGTCAGGTGGGTGGCACAACGTCGTACCTTGCATGCGGGCAATACTGACAATAACTAGATATGGCAACCCCACTGCCCTGGGCAAGAACAACGAGGTCGATTACACCGAGGTAGCCAAGAACTTCATTGCTAACTTTGCGCCCGAGATCCTCAAGATCTACCTCCAGCAGGTTGAGAAGTGGGTTGGAAAGCAGGTTTGGCTGTCAAAAGCCAGTTTGTACTACACACTCAACTTTCTCGACGAGTGCATCAAGCCCAAGACCATGTGGACTCTGCTCAAGCCTCACACCGACAACCTCATTGCGCATCTCGTATTCCCAGTACTTTGCCAGTCTGACGAAGACATTGAGCTGTTCCAGGAGGAGCCACAGGAGTACCTGCACCGCAAGTTGAACTTTTACGAGGATGTGACCGCGCCCGACGTTGCTGCCACCAACTTCCTAGTCACTCTTACCAAGAGTCGCCGCAAGCAGACCTTTACTGTCTTGAACTTTGTCAACGAAGTCGTCAACCGCTACGAAGCCGCACCCGACAATGAGAAGAACCCGCGGGAAAAGGAGGGTGCGTTGCGTATGATTGGTACGCTATCTGGTGTTATTCTGGGCAAGAAGAGCCCCATTGCGGACCAAGTCGAGTACTTCTTCGTACGACATGTCTTCCCCGAGTTCCGAAGTCCCCATGGCTTCCTCCGTGCGCGCGCATGCGACACCCTGGAGAAGTTCGAGCAGCTCGATTTCAAGGATCAAAACAACCTCATCATCATTTACCGCAACATTCTCGAGTCCATGGCCGACCCCACACTCCCAGTCCGCGTGGCTGCAGCTTTGTCACTTCAGCCACTCATCCGTCACGATGTTATCCGAAACAACATGAAGCAAAACATTCCTCAGGTCATGCAGCAACTCCTGAAGCTCGCAAACGAGGTCGATGTCGATGCCCTGTCGAACGTGATGGAGGACTTTGTCGAAGTCTTTGCACCAGAGTTGACTCCCTTCGCTGTAGCGCTGAGCGAACAGCTGCGCGACACTTACCTGCGTATCGTGCGAGAATTGGTATCGAGGAACCAGGAGAAGGGTGAGGATAGCGAGTATGGTGACTTCCTCGATGAGAAGAGTATCACTGCGCTCGGTGTTCTGCAAACCATTGGTACCCTCATCCTGACCCTGGAGAGCACTCCCGATGTCCTCTTGCACCTGGAGACTATCCTGATGCCCGTCATCACTATCACTCTCGAGAACAAGCTTTACGGTATGCAATCCAATCGGTTGCCTGCCCCTTTATTTATACTGATTTCCTCGCAGATTTGTACAACGAAGTTTTTGAGATCATCGACAGCTGCACCTTCGCTGCCAAGAGCATCTCCGGCACCATGTGGCAGGCGTTTGAGCTGATACATAGAACGTTCAAGGCCGGCGCTGAGCTCTACCTCGAAGGTATGTACATCTAAATCTTTGATTATCAATATCAAATTGCTCACAAAATATAGATATGCTTCCTGCGCTTGAAAACTTTGTCAACTATGGTACCCCCATGTTGGTTCAAAACCGAGCATACCTTGACGCCATCGTCGACATGGTCAGGACAATCTTCAAGGACGACAAGGTTGGCGGTGTTGATCGCATCTGCGGCTGCAAGCTAGCTGAGATCATCATGCTCAACATGCGCGGTTCTGTCGATGACTACATCCCAGAATTCATTGGACTAACCATGCATGTACTGACCAATGAAGAGCCTAAGGTCAAGTCTCTGCGGATACATCTGATGGAGGTAGTCATTAACTCCATCTACTACAACCCCGCATTGGCATTACACGTTCTTGAGAGCAATGGATGGACCAACAAGTTCTTCAGTCTCTGGTTCTCGAGCATCGACCACTTCACCAGAGTCCACGACAAGAAGCTGTGTATCTCGGCTATCTGCGCACTTTTGACACTGAGAGCCCAGGATGTTCCTGTGAGCGTACAACAGGGCTGGCCACGTCTGCTACAGGGCGTCACGCGTCTCTTCCAAACACTTCCTGCGGCACTGAAGAGTGAGTTTTTGAAGCAGCAATCTTATGACATGTTCGTACTAACATATACATAGACCGCGAAGAAGCGAAGAAGGAAGACGCATTCGACTACTCGGCTGAATTCGAAGAAGAGGAAGACGAAGAGTGGGAGCAGGAAGCTGACTGGAGTAATGAAGCCGATGAAGCCGAGGATGTCAAGGATGAGAGCGCCGCCTATCTCGACTTCCTAAACGAAGAGGTAAGGCTTATACATCCCAAAGCACACAATAAAGTCTAACAAGCAACAGGCACAGAAATTCAGCTCACTCGACGATGAAGACGACGATGAGCTTGAAGAGGAGAGTCTCCTGGAGACACCCCTTGACAAGGTCGAGCCATATGGCATGTTCAAGTATGCCCTGCTCCGTAAGTGGTTTGCACCGAAAGTACTCAAGTTGTATGTTGACATGATGTAGGCCTACAACAAGAGCAGCCTGCGCTCTACGAAGACCTCACCAAGAACCTTAGCCCAGACGAACAACAAATTGTGCAAAGTGCCGTTCACCAGGCTGATGTCATTGCACAAGCCCAAGCCGAAGCCCGCGCTGCAGCAGCAAACGGACAGCCATTGCCACTGCCACAGTAGAATGGTTCCAACAACCATATCATTTACCTCAATGAAACGGACCGTTTGCCGACGTGGCACGCACATGTGCCTTGACTCAAAGTGCAGCTGATGATGGCGACCCTTGGTTGTTTGGGTTGTGACGCCTCGGTTCCAAATACCCATTGGCAACTATGCACATGATAGGCGAATAGAGTGGAGAGTATGCGCAGGTAAAAGGCTGCTAATGTCAAGAGAAGGGAGGCGGGTTAAGGTCTAGGAGACTTCTTGGATTCCAATTAGCGAGCATCCTGGCGTTTTGATTTTTTTACGGAAGACGGTGTGAGCCGGAGGTTTCTTCTGGCTAGTGGTACTCTGTTGGTGTCAGACGGCGTTGATTTCGGCGTGTGTTGGCACAAAGGATTACGAAAAAGAGGAGGACGATATCCACAAGAGGAACTAGTTTTTGGGATGACGACGATGATGATGATGAAGCATGCGTACGAGGAGGAGGTTGCCCCGACCTAAAGGTCATCGTAGATAGCATTTTCTAGTCTGGAGTACAACGAATTGTAATCGTTGCGCATCATTGGATATCTGCTTTGCTTGCTGGGTTGCACATGGTATCCCTGGGTGATGGGCGTTGATCGCTGTTCCCTCGGAGGCAGAACCTGGTTGTTTCAGCCCTATCGATAAGCCAAGGCCCTACCATGAAACTGGCCAGAACAATGACGCTTGCGCAGGTGGCTTGTTGATTTCCTGCGCGCAACGTGGACAGAACCAGAGATCCAGCCCTGTTTCCTATACACAACGATTT